TGCAGCTTTGAACCTACGCGCCCGGTGCATAAACGAAACCCTGAATCCAAAAGCCCAGCTTCCGCTCATCCTCTTGACGCTATACGAGTCATGCACCTCGAACTGCTTAAAATGAGGGTGGCTTTAAACTTTAAACGCGACATGCAAAAAGCGCGTACTCCCCAAATCCTACCATAAAGCCGCCGTGAACCTTCAACCCTGACTGCAAACATGCCTTCATTAGCCTTTAGATTGAATCTCGTGCAACGCTCCCCACCCCCGAATCTAAAATCCTGAAGGTCGAAAGACCCAGGACTCTGAACCCTACACATCCTGAAACCGAACTTGAAACAATGAAGCCAGAGAAATCCCGATGCGCCGAAGCCCGGCACCTTCACGGATGGTCAACATGTTGCAAGGCGCTGCTGACGAAGGGTCTAGGGCCCAGGGTTCAGGGTGGGTGAGGATAAGATGAGCATCAGGTGGGGATGACGATGATGACCACGACGATGGCGATGCTATTCACCGCTTTTGGCTTGTAGTTGGAATCTTTTTCCCGTCCCAACCCCTGCCACATCGGCACACCGTCGGGTGCAAAGAACGTGGGTCTACAACAAACTCTACGCTGCGCCGTCTCTAAATCCCAACACCTCAAACCGTAAAACGGAAACTTTTGACTTCTGAGTCTTTGAAAGGCTCGGGATTGCTGAAGCCTAAACACTGCACTCCAAAAGCTACGTAAACCTAAACCCAAGCTCAAAAAACAAATGCTGAAGTCTTTGGAGCCTTTCAAATCAGACCCCTACAGCCTAAGACCTTCACCTTTCAACTCGAGCCCGAACTCCATATCCGAAACCCTCAACCGCTGGCATCGACAGAAGCCCCTAAACCCTAAACCCCTAAACCCACAGGGTTTAGTGTTTATGGTTTAGGGACCCATACAACCCCAAAACCCGAAACCCTGAACCCACAAGGTTTAGGGTGCGCGGAGCGCCGAGCTCCTGACGAACTGTCGCAGCCTCGAACTCTGCAGCAGAACGGCTGCAGGTCTGCCAGTCGAAATGTCGAAATCAGCATCACCCCATGGATCCGCAACCTCAAGTAAACCATTTCACGCCTGTGACCAGAAATCCAGAAGTGAGCATTCGGAATCGTGGTAGCTCAATAGCTACACCGACTACCCTAAACCCAAAACTACACCCAAACCCCAAATCCGAATTCTTTGAACCCTAAGCTACCCTAAATCAAAAAAATAAGCTGCAACGACTAATTACGAGCTCCCCCAAGGAAAGGCATTGCTGGGTTAGCAAGAAGCCAATGCAGGCCGCAGACGGTTTTGGGCTTCGGGTTTCGGGTCTAGGGTTTACCCAAACGCTCAAATTTGAACATAAGCCGGAAACCTATTGCAACCCTCAAACCACATAGCACAAACTGCGAAGCCCAAACCCCGGGCACCCAAACTTAGAAAGCTTCGAAGCTTTCCCCACCTTGGGGCCTCTGACAACCTTCAAGATCATTATGACAACACATGGGGTTTGGAGTTTTAGGGTCCAGGATTTTCGGGTTCCTACACCCAAAACCCCATTTAAATCCCAAACCCTAAACAGTGGTGCCTTGGAACTCGCTGCCTCAGCAGCGTGGGCCACACCTGAACATCTGACACGTTTCGGGGGCCCTGTCCGGCTGCGGGTGTTTAGGCCTTCCGCTGTCAGGTTGAAGGTTACGGGATTCAGGGATGAGACGTTCACTTCGGTTCGGTTTCCGGCGTTCCTTCCAGACTCTCAAAGTGTTAGTTTGTTCCAGTCCTGCCAGCCTTTCGGCGCCGCAAATAAGCAATGAGTCTCTGCATTTAGGGTTCAGGTTGTTGAGCTGAAAGACAGAGTCTTGGGGTTCTGGGCCTAGGGCCAATCGGAGCAAAGACCATGCAAAGGATGTTACCTCTTTCGTTAAAGTTAGAACATTGAGCTCAAGAACAAAATCATACAAATTGCCTAAACCAAGCCCCGAACCTTTCCGCCGGAAGCACCCAAGCCTTCAAGCCCAAATTTCGGCTATTGAATTCCTCTGCTCAAACCCAAATTTCGGCTATTGAATTCCTTTGCCCTAGCTCATTGATTCAAAAGACCCTGCGCAAAGCTGGTGAAGCGGCCTGCCGGGTCCCGCCATGGAACCGCGTCACGAACGCCATGGCCGGTGTCGCAAAGCGCGATGGATTGTCTGTAAGTTGTAACTAGAAGAAACCTGAAACCTTGACTCGGGAGTTCGAAGAAGAGGCATCATCCCTACACCCTTAACCCTTCCACAAAAGCCTCCTCACTGGAAGAAGCATACACTAACTAAGGGACCGGGAGCCATCCCGGAGTCATAACCTCGAATCCTCATCGGCAGGTAATACCAAGAACTAGACCCCTACGGCTCTAAATCCTAAGTTTGTGAGGGGGCTTGCGTCGGAAGCTTGGGCACAGAAGCATAATGCCTCGGACCGAGAAGCTTTCGAACGACTGGCACCTGTAGGGTCCAGCGTTCTCAGCCCAGAACCTACCGAACATCCTGTGGCGCACTGGTCCATGGTGTCAGAAACTCTGCACAGGCTGCCGACATGAAAGCCTGTCAAAATCCTGTCCATCGGGACAAATATTGACCGCCAACCCCAATCCTTAACCTGAAGCCTAAAACTCCGTGCCACTCTCTTCGTCTGCCACCTCGTCTCAATTTCACAGAAGCATGACCCGGAAGCTCAAAGCAAGTGGCGACACACTGGTGCTTCTTGGCCTGCGTACCGCCACATCCTTGACGCACCAAACCCCCACATCCACCTTGGCAGGGGAGAAGATGTGCTGCCGCCAAACCGTCAAAAACTGTGGGTCACTCCGACACTGCATGGAAGTTTACATCTAAGAATTTCTTGCTCTCATGGAATTGACCCGATCTGGGAAGACTTTGCAGCAACTACTTCGGGTTGTTCCCTCTCCCAAGCCACACAAACAAAAAACGTGGACACAACAAACGTTGGATGCGTTGTTAGGTGACCTCCACAGTCGAGTTTTGCTTTCTGGACGCATTTTATTTAACAGGAGTTGCATTTTGCCAGACAGCATCCGGAGACCTTCACGAAGGGGCTTCGTTTGTCGAAGGGGGCAAAATCTTCGTCTTCGAAGTCTTCGAAGGCTTCGAGGTTCCAAGGCAGAGTCGAAGGGAACTTCGAAGTCCCTTCGCACTGAAGGGTCTAAAGTCCCTTAAGCCTTCAGAACAAAGCCTTTGAAGCCCCAGCTGCACACAAACATGCATAGAACCCTCAGTTCTTACCAAAACCCAAAACCAAACCCTAAATCCCAAACCTGAACCCAAGTGCTCCTTTGTGTCACGAGCTTCGAGAAGCGAACGTGCAACATGGGGGCAACGCCCCTCAACCCTCCCTCTTTGAAAAAATGCGTTGTTTCGTTCTCGTTCTGCTACGACATCTTCTCCACAAGAAAGACAAAGCCACACTCAATCGTTTTCAGATGGCTTTAAGAAAGATAAAAATTAAAAACAACGGCAAAACACCTCTTCAACGAAAATCTTCTTAACACAAGGTAAGCTGGCGGATCACATCTTCGCGGACATGGACTCTTCGGCCAGATGCTGGAACGGCTTCAAGCCTGAAGCCCCTTCACTTTGCAGTCTGTTTTGGCATGTGAAATTCCCTTTCTCTTTTGTGGCATGTCAGTTTCTTGCTGACGCAAGCTTTGTTTTCAGACCTTTTCCGATAGGCTTCAGGCAGCCAACTATGCTCTCACTGACTCACTGCTCTTCCAAACCAAGCCTCTTCAAAGATCTCAGCGGTTCAGAATTCGAAGAGTCTCTAAGATTGAGACCCCACCAGTGTATGATAGCTTACAAAGCCTTTCGTACGGAGGTCCGTTGCATAGAACAAGGGACGTGGAGTTAGGCGTGGTGTGGAAGAAGCGGCAGCGCCAGGCCTCACCCAGACTCGAGGCTTCGAAACTTCGAAAATACAGGTGAGGCCTTGGAAAGCCTTTCAATGTTGTAGACATGCCCCACGACCGGTTTCAGGTTAGCCCGAACCATGCTCGTCTTTTTCGAGCTCAAACACCCACATGGGGCTCTCTGGTTTGGGTGCGGCCTTCTTCGCAACGGGCGGGCGTTGTTTGTAGTTTGGTTGTACTTCTGGGTGGCCTTTCTCCTGCACTATTGACCTGGCTCGGATAGCAAGCTCTTCCGCTGGTACTCTGTTCCGTGCTGAAGAGGACGAGGACTAATGCTCTGTGGGGGGATTCTGGCTTCGCCTCCCCTGTGCCCGTTGCTTTTATATTGATCGCTTCCACAGCTGTGATCTTTCCACATTACCCATTTGCAGCCAAGCCGCCAGTCAGATCCTCCAACTCAGCATATAACTGGCGGGGCCAAAAAAAGCAACAGCAACCAGTTTTGGAGCTAGAACTCGGCTCCATTTTCCAGCACGTTGAATCCATGGTTTCGACAAAGATTTGATTCTATGTCTTTCTATTTTCAACGAACATTTGCCACAAGCTCCGTCTAAGTTTGCTCGTCAACCTGTGGCCAGCATTGGTGGTGCGGATCTACTAAATTTACATTTACACACAGCCCAGAAGGTTTTAGGGCAGGCTCAAGGCTTCTCAATTCG